AGGGAAAACAGAAATTTTACATTATAAATTCTCTTACCTAGATAACTGATCCACCATCACTTGTTCTACTACAACCTGTTTTCTTCTCTCTGCAGCAACATCCTCCTGCAATGAAAAACTTACTGAGAGCAAATGAACTACATAACAGAAGACACTTTAAATAATAAATTACTCTTTAAGGTAGCATTCCAATGTCACAATTAATGGTTTGGGGTTTTTTAATAGACTTCTATTTGCATAACAAATAGACAAATAATATTCTCTGCTACACAGTCAAGTCATCTATGCATATTATTTGTCAATAAAGAAAAAAATTCTAGAATTCCAGTTGACAAGTAGCATCCTTATCTCTGTATGGTTTCCCAAAATTCTTTAAGTACAATAGAGCCTGAGGAAACTCACAGTATTTCAGGTTTCACGGTTGACACAGATTCCAACTCAGAGAATGAAATTTACCTCCAGCAATACTTAGTCAAAAAAATTCTTTTAACACTTAGTCTCAACACGCAATTTCTATTTGCTGCACGCCAGAAAAATTTTCTGCTGAGATAAGCCAATCTGGAAAACCTTTCAGGAAAGATCATTTTAAGGGGGAAGGGGATTTAACATAATCTTATTACTATTTTTATTAGAGTAACATTGAACCATAATCTCATGTCATTCACTGTGAAGTAGTCTGGTGTTGATCAGCATTTGTTTCATAGAAAGAGAAACCAAAGCACAGAGGATTGCCCAGGACAGCATGGAGGCCACTTGCCACAACCAGGCCCCAGCATTTCTGTTCACTTTATCTTCCAGATTTCTGAACTGTTTCAACTGCACTTAAATTTGCCCTTTTTTTCAGAAAAAAAAAATCTGTATATGAGAAAACAGATTATTGTTAGCGAGGGAGTTTATGCAACCTTTTTGACAACCATGTAGGTATTCTGAAAGTTAAGAATTAAGGTATTTTTCTGATTGATTATTTTTTCCACGTAATTCTTGTGTGCAAACTGAATTCTAGATAGATCAATCCTTCCTATGGCTGAAGAAGAACCAAAAGTTGGTTCCCAGACAACAGGTAACTGTAAGGTGTAACCTCTAATTCCACAGAGATGTTATGGGTATAATTCACAACCTTCAAGTAAATACTGATTGGTACTAAAAAAAAAAAAACAAGGCCAAAAAAAAAAATCAAAACAAACATTAAAATCCCAAATGAATAATGTAACACCAAACCAGATGGAGTTTATTCTGAACTGATTTTAAGTCTTCGAAGATTTCCGAATCACAGGAGACGGGGGGCTTCTTAGCTTGCTTTCATATTCCATTTTTGCACCCTGCAGAACTAGAGGACATTTTACTCTAATTTACTGAATCTTTGCCCATTAACTGTCACAACAGATACACTAAAAAAGTAATATGTAAAGGAGGACACAGTGATAATACTGAGCAGTGTTCGTTAAAACACAGCATGTTCCATGGACCCTGGTTTATATAGCTGAACCAGCTAGCATGCTGAAAAGAATCTGATTTTAAAAAAAGAAACCTTACACTTTCAAGTTTCCATTCAGTACTAGGTTACTAAATGAATTCTTCCACGGAACATCTTACATTCAGCTCTTATCCAAAAGCTCTACTACGAATTTGCAAAATTGCTGAGGCAAACATTGAACCTCCAGCAGCTCTCCCTGTTTAAAAAATAGTAACTCTTGTTCACAAATATTCAGAGAAAACTAATCTTCTTCCAAAAAAAAAAAAAAGAAAAACAAGCTAATTTTATTACATATAGCACCTATTTGCAATCACACGTGTACTAGAATCTGTCCTGAATGAGGGAACTTTCATCCCAAACTACAGAAAAATTATGAGAAATTTTACTTTAATATTAGAGTTTTTGGTAATGGTTACAGCAAAAGGAAGGTTGTGTACCGTGGCTGGCCCAGCCCTAACCCACGACATGTACTCTTAAGCAAATTTTCAAAGTACCTTAAAATCAAATGCCAACAACTGAAGCAACATAAACTCAATTGAATTATTACATAGATAGTTACTACTTTCAATTTTTTCCATTATTCCTATTACTGTCAAAAGCTTGAACCTGACAGAACCAAAGAGAGGTCTCCCCTAGAAAAAGACATCAGACCTCTGCAATTGTGAGCACTAATTAATAACAAAAGGGCTTCTTAAGGTCCAGGGACACCTTGCTCAGACACCTGTTGGCTTCTTTATAAAGCACGCCAGCTGCAGTGTACCTCTTATTTTGTGGTCCTGCACTGCTCCCTTTCTCAGTGTTTTCAGCTTATCTGATATGGTATTAAGTACTTATTTTAATGGTACTTCATTATCTCCATTCTGTAGTATAGATTTTAAAATTTATTCTAAAAATAAGACACAGGAGGTTCCTCAAGTTCATCATAAATGTACTTTCTGAAAACATTTTCTTATGAAAATGAATAGTGATCTCAGTAGTGCAACATCTGCATTCACTTCCACGAGACTAGAAATCTCATTTGCAGTGATGCAAAATTCAGTGCATAGTGATGAGCAAACAAAATAAATTAAAATTATTATTTACTTTTACAATCTCATAAAATTTCTCATGGCTTAGCATCCCATGAGAAAGTCAGAATGCTAACTCTGTTCAAAAATAGCTATGAAAGCCATCACTCTGCATATGGAAATACTGAATCATGCAGCACACCCACAGAAGTAAGGTTTTAATTCCCCTCTATGCTTGCTAGTGAGGCCATACTTGTTTCCATTTTTTTGGGCTCCCTCCTTCCCGTGGCCAACAGGATTGAGACGAACCTGGAAAGGATCTGACAGATGATCAGAGTCAAAGTAACTGAGAGGAGAGGCTAAGGGAGCTTGTGTTCATTTAGTTTGCAGAAGCAGCAGTTCTGAAGCATTCTGAAAACATCCTTACAGCCAAAAGGAAGCTACGAAGAAAACAGAACCTAACTTTTTTGGACAGTGGCCAGCAGTATACCAGGACGTGAAGGTTACATGCTGAGCCTTGGTAGGGATAACAGGAAGAACTTCTTCACAAGAAGAGCAGTGTATCACAGGAAGATGCTGCCTAGAGATGCTGTAGAAGCTCCATCCCTGGAGCCTGAAGCCTCAGCCAAAGCTGTGGCTGACTCGATCCAATACCAGCAGCAGAGCCCGTGCAGCTTGTAAAGTCAGTTCGCATCACATACTCTACTTCAGAAGTTAGTGAGGGGAAAGCAGCCTGTTTACTCTAGAAACAAGCTGGAGTAAGAGTCGATGGAAACATGGAAACCGATCATGGAACACAGGCTCAGGTACAAGCTACAGATCAGAGGAAATGTAACACTGTATTAAGGTTTACTTAATATACTTGCACTTATTACTCATAGTTCGCATTCTCATTTATGTGCATTACTGCATAAAATGCAAGCACTGCAGATAAGATTAAAAAACACTCACTGGATTGCTCAGTTCACCTCCCATTGAAATTGTTCAAACTCCCATGATTTCAATGGGTGCAATTACACACTAGGATAAAATCACGAAAGGCCTAACTTCTGTTAAACATCTGGGAAGTCATCCTGCAAGTCTAGACAGCTAACAGCATAACACCAGCCAAAATACTTACAGCTTCTGACTTCCTTAAACTGTGCCCTATATTATAGGGCTTGCTCATGCAGCTTTGTTGCAGGAGAGCTTTCTCATCAAGAGTTGTAAGTTCATTAGGTCCATCTTCAGGCTGTTTACCCTACACAAAAACACATTCGAAAACACGTTTCATACATTAGATTAATTGTAAGAAAACCAAACAAAACCCACACAATACATTTTTCTCAACAACTTATTTAAAAGTATTTTTCTCTTCCTTCCTTAATATTTGAAGTGTCTACATTTTCCTACTTCATGCCAATTAGAATTATTTTTTAAGCCTAGCTTTCTACAGGAACTGAACTTAGAAATTTTGCTTTCTAGTCTTCCTTTGTATCTTTGAATACTTACCATATTGAAATAAAAAAAAAAATCTCAAAAATACTGTGTTCCTACAAGCTTTGTGAAGAATAAGCAGGAAGTCAGAGAAGGCCGACTGTTAGTACCTCTCTGAAGGAGACAAGAGCTCATCCTTTTTCTGTTCTGCTTGAGAACAGCCAAGAGAAAGTGGCGGATTTGACAGTACACATATAGCTCAAAGTTCACCACTACAGAGATGTTGCTTTTTGGCCACCAAAGAAGTTAAATACAGTCTAGACAGAGAAAAGGCAAAGCATACTGCTGAACTGCGTCTAAGAGACATAAATCAGTCCGAGGGTATTATGGTAATATCTCCATTATTATGGGGGATAGGAAGAAAACTGACAAAGGAGACTGCATTTGCAGAAGTCAGAAAGGAGGGAGCACAAGAAAGAAAGCAAAAGAGTAGATTTTTGTAGCTATGCTCCTCTAAGAGGAGCTTCTTTGAAGAAAATTATTACAAGTTCCACTGATCAGATTTAAGCAGTGATAATATCTAACATAGAAAATTTAGTCTGCTAGACATCCCACTAAAATCTGTCATAAGAACTGACACACATGGCTTCTAGTGCTTAGCCAGTACCTTCCTGGAACCCAAATCACCTGAAAAAGCCAATTCTTTCTGTCTCTCAGAATACACTTTCCACCTATTTCTTCAGTTGCAGATTAACTTTGCTGCTGTAAATACCCTTTCAACAGGCTTGCAGTACAGCATATAAAGGAGTTGCAATAATACAACAAATCCTCAGAATCAAAAATCTTAACTTCTACTAAACATAAAACTAAAAAATGTAACAGAACTGGGGTTTTTGCTGAGCTCTTTTACTCATGGAATGCTTACTTATAGGTACTTACAGGTTCTCCGAGTTTTATCCGAACACTAGAAGCTGACTATAGAGGGGAAAGCCCCTTTAAAACTATCAACTATATGTGTAAAACAATAACAACAATATGTGAAACATAATCTTTGCCTGATGTAAGGCCTCCCGTTTTCATTCTACTGAACATTAAAAGCTATTGTGCTGTTCATCACAAACCTTTTCTCTGAAAAGCAATGAGCACAATATGTTCCCTCAATATCTGCATCCTTAACTTCTCATTAAGATTCTTGAAGGGCCATCTGCCCTCAGTACAGTCTAGTGTTCGACCAGTCCTCACAGCTGTTGCTTATGTTTGTTTCCTGTTTCCTTAAACCTCCTACAATGATGTATCTTGCTCCGCGCAACCATCCTTCTCCACTATCTCTTCCAGAACAAGAGGAAAGTTGGGGTTTCTCCAGTTCTTTGTTTTCTAGTTTCTCTCCACTCAACTTCCCTTGTTTGCATCTTATTTTTAATTTTAAAAAAAAAAATGCAGAAGGACTGTACTGGATCTTATACAATGTCAAAACAAAAAGTACAGGCAATATCTTTCATTATTTTAACCCCATATTCCTTTCCATTTTCAGTCTTAATAGAAAGGTAACAGATTACACCTTTCACTTCTCCTTTTTTAAGTCCTATATGCAGGCATAATTGAATATAATAATAATTAATATACTTCCTTTTTTTTTAAAAAAGCTTGAATGCATTTCTGTATTTGGAAATAACACTTTACATTGATCTTCCCACTGTCTCATCTTCTTAGGCTGCAAACTCTTGCCTATAACCGATGCTAATGTTCATGCTCAGGCTAGAGGTGTACTGTAAGGGTAAATGTTATATTTCTTAGCAGAGAATGCAAGCATACTTCAGATTCTCATGGAATCTGTTTCTTTCTCCGCAATAACTTACACAAGCTTCCATATATTATTTCCAACTCAACACTAGATGCCGAAATTATTGCTTTACAATAAAAACATGCAAGAAATTAATTACACACACATTCAAATCTTGTCCAAACACTGTAATGAAATGCCAACGGACATTTGCTATTTACAAATGTAATTACTTCTTTGCTAGCTACCTTTATGGAAGCTTCTGGATGTTTGAGGTAGTCTTTTTTCTTTCCTTCAATTCTCTGAGAATACTGCTTATATTCTTCCTTCATATCCGCTTCATACTGACGATACTTCAGTTTGTATTTGTCTGCTGGGGATGGCAGATTTTCTGGTATTGTCTTCTCCTCCAAAACAGAATGCCAAAGCAAAGAGCAATCAATATAAAAGCCTCTAGTTGATCTACGGCATGAGAACAGCATTATTATAATTCACACCCAGTCTAACTTCTGAAACTTCTCGACACTATACATCCCATTAGGAAAAAAATACGGATATGGCTGTATATTCAGGCTTAATTCTCATTGAGTTCTTCACATTCTATTCTATTCATATTTCAGTCTAAAAAGTACACAGCCAAATGGTTTGGCTCTTCACTTTTTTTAAAAGGGAACGGTCAAGAATCAGTGGTTCCATCCTGTAAGATAATGTTACATATCACTAAAATGGGAAATCTGACATTTGATTTTGGATGGCTGGAAATGGGCTAACAGATTTTTTTCAACCAGAAGTTGGGAGGTGGGAGATGAGTATTAGCACTGGGACTTGCTTCCCTAGAATAACACCAGCTGAAAAGCCTAACTTTACATCCATTTCAGGGCTCTACACTGTGGTGGCTGGATCAGTAGAAACAGCAGCAATGACAGAAGGCCAAGCCTCCATTCTTCTCTCTCTTGCTGAATAACTAACAACTTCAATGTTTAAGTAATATTCCTTCAACACTAACAAAACTAAGAGTTATCTCTACTTGACACATCTCAACTTGCAACGGTGGTGTAACAAAGCTGTTCTAGGAAACCACTTCTCAAAAACTCGAAAGACTGAAGTTCTCGGAAGGGCAGCTTTCTCTTTCAAAAGAGGATCCACATCCCTTCACTGGTTAATTCCTGAATAATAAGACTATATTTAAATTATTCTTCCAAAAGTGACCTATTTTGGAAAGATTTACTTACACAGTCTGTTAGTGAAGAAGTTGGAATATATCTTGCTAAAGGAATGCCCAGAAGTAAGTAATGTAGAAATAAAAGCCACTCAGAGGAATACATTTGAGATATTTTAGAACTGCTTGAAAATCTTCTCCACAAAAGGGGAGAGGGGGAAGTCAGACAAAGAGAGAGAGAGAGAGAAGGAGAGCAGAAGAGAGTAAGTGAAGAGAAGATACACTCCTGCACACTCAGCACTTAGTATTTAAGACACAATGAAGGCAGACAGTAAGCAACAAGACATCGAGGAAAGTAGAGAATGGTGAAACACCCAAAGAAACAAAAAGAAGCCATACCAAACCCCTGTTAGCCTTCCTGCAGCTAGAGAGAATTATCTGTATGAACTTCTTATTTATTTTTTAAAAAAAAAAAGTTAAAACAAGCAGGGAAATTGTAGGCAGACAGACCCATTGAAACTCGAGTATGTTTGTACTGCACGCTTACAATGCACCACAGGGGAAAATAACCTATCTGTGGTTACATGTTTACAGTTGCAGCTGAAGACATGCATAAATACCTATGTTGGGCACATAAACATTAGTAGTACATTCTTAGTTGATTATTTGAAAAAAAAACCCCACAAAAAACGATAAGCACTTAAGCATTTCACGTTTTATTTAAAAGCACTTTTTTTCTTTTTTTTTAACATTGAAAAACCATTTGGTTATATAGGGAAACATATAAAGATTCACTTTGAGTTCCAGCTTGTTTGGAGTCCTGTGCTACAGGTTATTTTATAATCCATTTTAAGGGGCACAGGATATGTACAAATTAATTAATAATTATTTTACTTTCTAACTACACTTCTGTTTTAAACACACTCATTAGAGTATTTCTTAGGTTTACATAAGATAATTATTTACGAAATAATGGATTTTTAAATCATATATTTTCCAATTCTTGCAAAAAAATATAAAATTTATTAGTTAGGATATTTCCACACCCTAACCATATAAAAATGTACCACTAAGCATAAGATCGTTATCATGATTATATATGGCGCATCATTACAGTAGGAAATAATCATGTAGGTAGCATTCTTCCTGAATTATTTTAAAGTTTCAGATTTCTTTAATAAATAGGGACTAAACCCAGAAGACTACTGTTTGCAATACTTCAGCACTTTTCCTTTAATTATCGCATCTTAAACACTCAAAATACTGATGGAATGACAGATTAAAAATAGTGTCTCCAATAAACTAACTTCTGTCACACAAACGTTAAAACATACATTTTCAGACCATAGTACTCTACTGCTGAATTGCTAATGGTATTTTGTCAGTGTATCTTATTTTTCAGCTACTTTACCTCTATTTTCTTCTGACAAGATTTTCTAGGCATCTGTTTAAACTAAAGAGAAATGAAGTATGTATCATGATCAAATAAAAAACTGTCAAATTAATTTGTTCAAATTAAATTTGGATATAAGAGTTCAAAGGAAAACTACTTCTGCATTCAGGAAACTGTAATAACTCAGTAATTAAATTAATTCTTAAAACTGTCATACTGGATATTGATCCTGAACAGTGCCATACTGTATTATAAACCAGAATGCTGGCATTTGGACTATGGATGTTCCTTATAAAGATTAGAGGTGATTAAGTTTCTTAGTCATTAAGGAGAAAAACAATGCTGATATTTTAACAATACAAGTGCTCTGACAATTTAAACATAATTCCAAAGTTAACATCACAGTTCTGCTTTAAAGACAATGGATTTAAGAAAAACCCTATGAAATGGCTGCACGTAACCCCAAAAGTTTCCTTTTCACCAAAAGTAACTATTCTTCCACAGAAACAATACTTACTCTTTGTTAGCTTAGGTTTTGTCTTTAGTCACGCACTAACTGTCTAGTCGCAATCTTATCTTTATTATTTTTGTAAATTCCCCTTTGTTTAGAAAGATAAACCAGTTATACGCTACTTAAAAAGTATTAAATTCTTCAGTTGCTTTGACAAATTGTTAATAGAGCTAGCTAATAATATAACTCTTAAAAAATTAGTACAATGAAAAGGAAGAGTGTATCAACCAACAAAGAAGAGCTAAGGTATATTAGAAAATAGGATTTTTGAAATATTCTAGAGGCTTCTCAGTAAAAAGTACTTTGCCAAAAATATTTTGGACCAGTAGCACTTGTAGATAAAAGTTTAACCAAAAGGAAAAAGAGAATTTGTATAATGGGGCTAAGTCTGACTTCCTAAACTACTAAAGGGGCATGTTTTAAAGATATTTGTGGCGACAAGGCTGACCTCTCGAGCCTGATGATGTTGCACACATGGTGTTTGTAGCGACGCTCTCCAATCTGAAGATGCATCTAGAGGGCATGTGTGAAGATAACTTCCACTGTATGGTATGTAAGAGTCTCCATCCTAAAATTACCCAGGAAAAAAATACAAACAATCATAATAATTTTATATTCAGACTCATATTTTTATAAATTCTTGCAACACATGAATTGTAAAAGCTACTCAAGACAGAATTTATAATTACCTCTTGATCAGAATCTCCCAGCCTCCCTAGATCTAGGCATGGCACCCTGCAGGAAGTTAAAACAATTTTAACAGAAATACTTCCTCTTATTTTTTAATTGCAGTAAATACAAACTATTAGTTATTACTATTAGCTCCTTCACAAAAATTTCCTAGCTGTGAGCAGTTTCACTACAACTGGAGATCGCCGACTTGGCAAATCCCCTTTAGCGCCTCTTCCTTCAACTCAGAAACTGGCCACGGAGCTTTTCCTCGTCCCCTGTTGCAGCCACAAAGGGCCCCCACCAGGCCCTTCTTCACTCCCAGCTCGCCCATCCCAGCTTCTCTTCATGTTCCAATAGGAGCTGCTGCTGCAACAAGATCATAAATCAAGAATTCCCTACTCCTGTCTTCTACAGCAAGTCTGTGTCAACATCCCTTTATAATCAGTTACCAGAGAGGCAACAAGGAAGCAAAAGCTCCTTGGGATGCAAACCTTCCACGTTTTTTGGAAGAGATTAACACAGCAGAAGCCAACTATACCTCAGTATTTTATTCTGCTTAAATAAATGAAAACATCTCCAGTTCAAAGCAACTCTGTGCCTCCTGCCTTTATTCCACGTATACGCCTGAGCACCGGGAAAACGTTTTTTGTTATATTTTGTCATCAATATTTCCCAACAACACCATTATAATTAGATTACTTCTTGGAATAAGAGAGCTTCTTAATTTCCATCTTCTTTTCATTAGAGAATGACTGACAGTACACAGAAATTGAAGTTCTTTCACTTTGATATGAACAATCCAAGGTCACAGTCACACATACTTGTAAAATAACACAGAAAGTTAAGTTGGCTCTAAAGCATTTCAGTAAAGAAAAAACCCTAAACTATCAGACATGGTTCTCGGAATGGCAAATGTTGCTTATCTGCTAAAATCACTACAAGGTTTTAAATTTTATAAGTGCTGTTCAAAATCTCCCATTGCCTGTAAAAACACCTCACAGCAATTTCTCTGTAATTTTTACTGTAGTACATGCAAAGAAAATCAATAATTAAAATACGTTTTTCTTTTTGCAGATTCTTATATTAAAGGTATTCAAGAAAGACTAGGCATAAATATAAAAGCTTTGAGTACAACTCTACTGCTAAGCTCCACCAGATGCAAATCAACTTAATTCCAATGTAAATAATGCATCAAATATTCTACTCTAAATATAAATCACAGAAAACAAACTTAGGATAATAAATTTCATGGAACACTGAGTTGCATATCAATACCAATGCAAATGCATTGTGTTAGTAATGCACAATTAAACAAATTAATCATGAATAGAAGCAGACTTACTCTGGTGGCCGAGGACCACGAGTAGCCCGTGTATCTGGTCTCCAGCCCTAGAAGAATGACACACTATTACACACCTATGAGAATGAGGATTACCACACATAGTTCCCTCTTTCAACTTCCCATGGAATATATCAAAGTATCTGGCTGATGTATTTGACTGAGAAGCTATAAATAAAAGGACAAAACAAAAACTTTTCACTGGAAGCTGATTCTTACAGATCATGTAAGATTAAAAGACTTAATATTCATCATGGCAGAAAGCTGTCCAGCCATTAAGAATCCAGATAGCATCTACATCATTAATAATGCATTAAAAATAATCCATGTTCCTGATGTGTAGAATCACAGCTCACAAGGTTTTAGGGCACATCATCATTGTTGGTTGGGAATCAACAATCACAGAATCGTTGAGGCTGGAAAGACCTCTGAGATCATCAGGTCCAGCCCATGACCCAACACCGCCACATCAGCCAGACCACGGCACTAAGTGCCACATCCAGCCTCTCCTCAAACACCTCCAGGGACGGTGACTCCACCACTTCCCTGGGCACCCTCTCCGTGAGGAAGTGTTTCCTGAGATCCAACCTAAACCTCCCCTGACACAGTTTCAGGCCATGCCCTCTCATCCTGTCACTGGTTGCCCAGAAGAAGAGCCCAACCCTCACCTGACTACGCCCTCCCTTCAGGTAGTTGTAGAGAGTGATAAGGTAAATTCCACAGCCAACCCGTAAACCAGCACCAGAATACCGACAGTCAGCTTGCTCACAAGGAGCTAGCTTGGATTCAGAAGAAGCCCTGATATTTGGCACAAATGTATCACATCAGCCTTAGTACGGCAGCACAAGATGATGACCAGGCAGTTTCTGTACTCACGCTGCTTGTTTCTCATGTCTATGTACCACACAGATCTTCAAATGCAGCTGAGCAAGAACATGGCAAGAAGGAAAGACTTGAGACAAAGCTCCATCATCCCCACTACAGCTTTCTGAAAACAGCCGACTGCAAAGCCCTAGGGAAGACTGTGCCAAGCACACAGTAACAACTCGCCCAACTGGCCTCCCAATCTGGTTCAGGGAAGTCCTGAACCAGGGCCAGCATCTTTGTTTTCATGCTCCTGAGCTGAGAGTTCTCTGTGTCACAGTCGGAACTGAGCAGACATCCTACTTCCAGCAGTGCTCTAACATCTTTTGAGATTTGAGAGCAGTCACAAAATTCTAACTCCTTTCTTGCCACACACCCTTGTAAGCCTGCTCCTGGAACAGAAGTTCATGGTTCAGCAACACTACCCTCTAGTGCCTTTAAAGAAAGAGGATTCAGGCTTAAAAAAAGAAGAAAGTTTCTCTCCAGTAACCTTGCACATAATAAATATCACCACCTCGTGGACAAAGATGTAAAAAAAGTTAAGATCTATAACAAAATTTAGTCCTATTCTTAAGACTAAATGCAACCCATTAAATCACAAATATATTACTTTTCTATACCATCTCAACTGGGATAAGATAAAGAACATGCCACATTCTAGATATTCCAGAACTCATCAAATCAGGAAGAAAGCAAACAAAAATCATCCTTAAAACTCTCCACATTTATGAGGTGAAGCACCTAACTTTAATTTATGATTTATTTTTGCAAACACCAAAAATCAGATGGATTAGAGAGGCTAGATTTGGAAACTGAGAGGGATAAGAAAGAGAAAAAAAAGAGGGATGAGAGATTAGAGACAAATGGACACTTCTTTTACAACTTACACTAAATGCTCCAAATGTTCTTGCTGTTCACAGGTATTTCAGTCTCAAAAAATGGTTAAAAGGTAACATTATAACAGCGATGTCATATCATTTACAAAAGGTCCTTTTCATTCCAAATCAAACAAAAAAGGAAAACACCACCTTGGGAGTTAAACTTCAAGAATTCCTAATGGGGTCATCCAGCAAATAAGGAAGTTAAACGGGTGCTTGGGGGCTGAGGGAAGATTACCGATTAACTTTACTTCATGGACATAAAGTACACAGTATCTGTGAGAAAAATCAACTGTTATTAACAATATTAATATTTACTTTAGCTATAATAAAAAAAAAGGCCCTCAGATTCCAAGATCATATTTGTACCTATCAGGCTTTCAAAAGCTAGCCTGAAAGTCTCTGCTACAGTGATCTTGCACACCTACCATATCTCAAAATGCAGACAATTAGGAATACCCAGAAAACAAAATTCCCCTTTGTACCGAATGCAGAGCACTGAGATTCATTTTACACATTGTGCCTTTTGCAATCATGTTTTGGGGGCTGCTTTACTTTATTGCTGTCTTGCAAAACAGACACATAGAGACATCCATTATCAGTTTCACCAACATCCTGAAGACAGCACACAGTTCAGGTTCAAACCTCTGTTGCTCTTAACTGCAAGCACTGGTTCATTCCCAAGTTTGTCACATCCCCGTTAAGTACTCAGAATAACAGTTCTTCTAGGATAGACATTTTTATTGGAAATTTTCACCTTCATTTGAGAAGCTGTCATACTGTACTACCACCTTCTGACAAAATTTCCTTAAATTTTCCTTTTCTACAGAATGCATTATCCCCTCAAACCAAGAAACTTCTGAAGTATGACTAAAATATTTGTTAAAATGTCAAAGAAAGGAAGGAAAACAACTATAAGCCTTCATTTACCATACCTGATACTTCTTCCCCCTCGATGACAGCTGAGCCTGCCTTCGAGGGGATGCAGCAACTCCTTTAACTTCTAAATCCATGCAAATTCAGTGGCAGCCTTCCGAATAAACTGAAAAACAGAAATAGCTATTGAGAAAATCGTGTATTTTTTCCATAAATACTTCTGAAAAAAAAACCATTGCATTAGAAAGAACACGTCTATCACCAGTAACTATTGTCTTCAGCAAGCTGTGAAACATTGCCAACTTCCCTTTCTCACCAGCTCTTAATTTCAGTCTTTCCTTACTAATGCTTAACCTGATTCCTGTTTGAATTTACATCTCTGCCTCAAGCTTAACTCCCTCTTTCCTTTTTTTTTCTTTCCCTTACACTTCTTGATACTTTCTCCTACCAACACCACTAATTTGCTACCCCTTGACACTAAAATCCGTTTACTTTTCACTCACAGCCACAGCCCTGCTCTCGGTTGCTTCGTGCCCTGGGAGCAGAAGGTGTCGGGGCCCTCCTGGCCCAGAGCCAGGAGCTCCAGAGCGGCAATTTGTCACCATGTTATCTCCTGCTCTGCCAGCTCCTCCTTCCATCCTGCCAGTTTTAAACCAGGGATCGTTTAATCCCCAGAAAACAGACGCTCCATTTTCGGAGCTGACCACGTTCCCACGGACCGAGCGGGTTTTGACTCCCAAGCAACCTTTCCTTTACCGAGCAGCTGCGGGGCCTGTGCGAAGGCGGCCAACCCCTCAGCACCGGGACGGCCTGCCAGCCCGAAGCGCTTTCTCTGGGCACTTGAAGCAAAGAGCCGCTGTCTTTGAGCGACCTCCGGGCTCTTACTGAACCACTGCACACTCCCCACGGAAGGCAGAGGTAGAGGAGGGCCTCCTCGCCTCTAACTGTTAACACGCCGAGATAACTTTAGCACTAACGCCACCAGGAGAAAAATACACACACAGACACACACACACGAACGACGGCCTCGGGCAGCTCCG